TTTAATAATTATAATCTAATTTGCTTTTTTTTTTAATTCTTCACCGATTAGTTGATTATTCAAAAAGCAACACAAAGCCCGTAAATTTCTCCCAACGAAAATTTTAAATTATCATTATTTAAATTTTTTAGAGATATTAGTTATTTTTTAATTATATCTTTATTGTTTTATTTTTAAATAAAATTGAAAATATTAATGAAGTAAATTGATGATTTAATCAAATATAGTTATATTTTTAGAGGAAGATTATACTTACAACTTTTTTTTACAACCTCTTACAACTATATCTTAACACCGTTAATTTTCGCCAATCAACAGTTATCATTTATTGTGAATTGATAATTAATTAATGAGTTTAATTTGCGAAAATCATAACCGTTGATTGACGGAAATCAACGGTGTTAAGATATGGTTGTAAGAGGTTGTAAAAAAAAAAGTTACAAGTATAACCTTCATCATATTTTTAATTTAAAATATTACTTTTTAATTTGATACAAAAATTTAAACAATAATCATTCAAAAAAAAATATTTTTGAAATGGTCACTAAAGAAATCATTGTATATTCTCTTCGAGTACATCTCCCGAGCATCAAAAAGTCATCATCGGTAATAACTATCAACAATGTCAAGGCTTCTTTCTTCCGAGTCATCTACTTATATGGCCTTCGTTTGTGAACTGTTATTCACTTGATAACATTTTTCAATGATTCGGTCACTCATTGGCAATTTGGGGGGTTCATGGGCCTGTAATATCTACTATTTAATGAGATGCTCAATTTACAATAAACTCAAAATATTGCTTTCTCTTGACCCTACATTAATTATAGTTATGGTTTGAAAATCAGTATCAGTTATATTATTTTTATTTCAAAAATACGAAATGATTTTCAAAAAAGTTTAGTTTTTAATTTTAATTTTTCTTGTAGTTATAATTTGGCGCCATGGTTTGACTTGCATTGTGTAATTACAACTACTGAAAGAGGTTTTCTGAGCTTTCAGCTGTTTTGAATGTGATCTTGTCACCCGCAGCAGGTACTTTTCAGTTATTCATGAGAATAATCTCGGATGGGCCGTTTTTTTTTCTTTAACCTGGCTCCGTAAAAATATATTAAAAATCACACTCACCTTATATTTGTTTTTTTTGAAGTTACCCAACCCTAATTATCTCTTTGAGGTAGTGTTTGGTTGAAGGTTTATTTTAGGATTGATGGGAAAGTGTAGGTGGATATTGGAAAATACCACGTTTGGTTCAGGTTTTTTCAAGAAATACCAGACAAATATGATAGATGGAAAAATGACTTTTGTGTTGATTTTTGGATGAAATTCACTGTTACAGAATACCACTTGAGATGTGATATTGTGAGATTACTGGGGAAGTGAAAAAACAGATACAAAGTTTCTCCCAAACATAGATTTTGCATATTTAAATAAATTTCCCTGGTAATATTTGGGTTAACCAAACAACTTTTTTTACATTTTCCTATCAAACTCACTTTCCAACCATTTTCCTATCAATTACATTTCCCTAGTAAAAAAAAATGTCTCCCGAACCAAACACTACCTGAGACGAGTTGGCTCCCTCCGGTATCCCCACGAGCTTCGAATCTTTGAGCCGGCTATGAGACTATAAGGCCTTGGGCACTCCCACCCCTTGAGCTAGCTTTTGGGGTGGTGACCTCAAGGTTCTTAAAATGGTATCAGAGCCTCACCGTCTCCCGCTTTAAAAAGTGGAATTAAAATAAAAAAAAAGCACAAAAAGGTAAACCAAAGATGGGCCTGTGCAATTTCCACGCTTCTAGCCTAAAGGGCTCTTGCGTGAGGGGGCGTGTTGAGATATATAGTCCCACATTGATTGGATGGACAACTAATATAGCCTTTATAAGGCCTTGGGCACTCCCACCCCTTGAGCTAGCTTTTGGGGTGGTGACCTCAAGGTTCTTAAAATGGTATCACCTCAAGGTTCTTTACATGGTATCAGAGCCTCACCGTCCCCCCGCTTTAAAAAAGTGGAATTAAAATAAAAAAAAAGCACAAAAAGGTAAACCAAAAATGGGCCTGTGCAATTTCCACGCTTCTAGCCTAAAGGGCTCTTGCGTGAGGGGGCGTGTTGAGATATATAGTCCCATATTGATTAGATGGACAACTAATATGGCCTTTATAAGGCCTTGGGCACTCCTACCCCTTGAGCTAGCTTTTGGGGTGGTGACCTCAAGGTTCTTTACAACTAATCCGGAGTGCGGGGGAACAGTGATGGCTAAAGGTTCAGCCCCCTGCTCAAGAATGCATTCAGCGGGAATCGAACACATATCCAACCCCACTAACTCAGCGCCAAGTTACCAACTGAGCTGCACCCATTGGTGAATACTGTAAACTAAATTTATATAATAATTAATCATAATTTTCAAATAAATCCATTTTTTATATAGATAAAAAATACTTTCAAGATAACTGTTAAAATAATTAAAATCAATCAATATAATTAACTCTTTTAGGTAGAAAAAAAGTTGAAGATGAGGGAAGATTCTCTTCATTTCAAGGTTAGGCAAACTACTATAGTCCTAGTAAAGATTTATAATGAGATTCTTCATGTAATCGTTATGATCGAAAGGTTTACAAATTACAAGTTAAGTAATCACGTTACCTATATATAATTAACTTTATTAGTAATTAAATTAAACATAATACTTTTTACAAAAAAAATAAAATGAAACATAATATTATTTTACAAAAGAAAAATACGGGACGAGACAAGACAAATTAGCTTTAAACTTGCACCTACACTAGCTCGTTTAATGGCTTCCAAAAAAAATGTTTTTTATGTCTTGCTTATTTTACAAGTGTTTTTTATTAAAACTAAAGCTATTTAGATTTTTAAAAAATTATTTGATTTTAAAAAAAATATATTTGACTTTTGACTTCTATTTTTTTAAGAAGTTAAAAATTTTAAATTTTTAAAAAAATAGGTTATTTTCTTTTTTTATGATTTTCTTTTAAAAACAGACATCAACACAAATATTTTTATGAGAAATGCTTTTTTTTCCTAAAAAAAAGTAGCTTTTAGAAGAAGAAAAAAGTCCATTCAAACGGACAACTTGCCATACGAGTTGAATCCTTGCAAGTTGAGATTAAATTGCCAAACTTACCAAATAATTATTGTCTATTTGAAAAAAAAATTATTATAAAGATTATTAAAATTAAAAAATAATCATTGACTATCTTGAAAAAGAAAGTACCAAAAAATTATTATGATAAAGTTAAAAAAGGTAAACAAAGAAATATTGTAAAATTCTTCAAATAGCACTTGTGCTGCGAAATAAATAAAATAAGTAACACTACTCTAAATAATTATTTAAGTGTGCATGCTCGATTGTGTGTGCAGATGCAAAACTTATAAAAATATTTTTTAAGTGCGCCTAATTTAAAATGTTAAAATATCGAGTCCGGTGAAATAATCAAATACATTTACCTAGTGTGGATATTATGTGTATTATACCATTTTTTGTAATTCATATATTTTAGAACAGTGAAGATGTCTAAAATTGAGAATGATGACATTTATAATTATTCAATTAAAACAGAATCTAAATTGAAATTTTAAAATTCAATAATAATTTGTGCCATTAATGGAATTAAATTAAAATGTAACTCCTCTAAAGTGAGAAGTTCATTTTTAAGAAAAAAAAAAACAAATCTATAGCAGTTCATTTGAAAATCAATTGAATAAATCAATTACTTTATGAGTTATTATATATGTGCATGCATGTCATCATTACCTTAATTAGCTGCTAGTTTTTTAATTAATAATTATAGGATACTTTTTTTTCTCACTTTAAAGGAGTCAAATCTATAAAATTAAGTTACTCTCACTTAAATGTACTTTAATTTAATAGATAGAGTTATATGCAAGGTCAGAAAAAAAAAAAACAGTTATTATGTGTGTGTATATATAAATGGAAATAATAGTGATAAAAAAAGAAAATAAAATCTTTGACTCTGTTTGAAAATGGGAAATATACCACTAAGGGGATGACGTCTCGTCGGATACGATTCATAAACCAACCGGGCCGGGTCGCTCCCATTGACCAATGAGAATGATCACCACTTGATATCTTCTAGGTTATTGTCTGTTAAAACAACTTTTTAACTGTAATTCATATCCTCTTGGATTTTTTTATTTTATTTTAACCAATTGAAAGTTCTTAAAAGGAATAATTATTTCCTGCAATCTACCCTTAATCAAACTTTCAATCTCCATTCTCCACTAATGTTGACGAACTTAGTGACGTTGCATCCGGGGGGTTAAATATGCATAAATCCTGAACTTTAATTAGCCAACAAATCAATATGATTTCTATGTGTATTTAGTACTCAGGAGGTGTTTGGTAAAAAGAAAAATTTTTTGTGTGTAAAAATCGAAAATATAATTTTTACGTTCAATTTACGATAATATTTAAAAATTTAAAATATAATGAAAAAAATCTCGTACCAAACACAACCTTTGAGTTTAAAGTAATAGCAAGAAATATATAATATATACACACATGTAAATTCTTGTACGAACCAAAGGAATAGGAATATATATACGCAGAGAGAGAGAGACATCACCATCCTTCTCACTCTCTCTCTCTCTCTGATGAATGCTGATTTAGCCCCGTAGTTGGCGCTCACCCTTCCGCTTAACCCTCCTCCATTGAACATATATAGAGAGAGAAGAATATTCATTCGCACAAGTGGATAAAACCTTCTTAGTCCGCTCCAAATTTTAAGGAAATTTCTTCACGAGCCTAATCCTTCTTTAGATAAGAGAGGTAAAAAAGATTACCACTGAACTCATCAGCCTAAACCTTCAACAGAGTGAGACTAGAAAGAGAGATACAAACACCTTCTCTTCCTAAGGGGTTGCTCTGTCTTGAGCTCAACCTTGTGGTTAATATTTATATATATATATAAAGTGGAAAAAGTTTGTTTGTTTTTTTCATTTCTTCTTGATTGCATTATTGATGGACTATTGGCTGCGAGAAATAGAAGGAAAGCAAGCTCATGACCCTTTATTCATGGACAAAATGAATAAAAAGTCATCATCATCAGCTGAGAGATTTGTGTGGGTTAAGGGTCCTGTGATTGTAGGAGCGGGTCCTTCAGGGCTTGCAGCAGCAGCATGTCTCAAAGAGAAAGGTGTCCCGAGTGTAATATTAGAGAGATCTAATTGCATAGCTTCTCTGTGGCAGCTTAAGACCTATGATCGCTTAAGCCTTCATTTGCCAAAGCAATTCTGTGAGCTTCCCTTTATGGGGTTTCCTTCTGATTTCCCAACATACCCATCAAAGCAACAGTTCATACACTACTTGGAGACTTATGCAGAGAGGTTTGGTATTAGGCCAAGGTTCAATGAGACGGTCAAGCATGCCGAATTTGATCCCAATCTTGGGCTTTGGCGTTTGAAGTGTTGTAACAAGGCGGAGATGACGACGGAGTATTTATGCCGGTGGCTGATTGTGGCCACCGGAGAGAATGCAGAGGCGGTAGTGCCTGATATTGAAGGAATGGGTGAATTTGGAGCACCCATTAGGCATACAAGCCTGTATAAGAGTGGTGACGAGTTCAGAGGGAAGAGAGTTTTGGTGGTTGGATGTGGAAATTCTGGCATGGAAGTGTGTTTGGATCTTTGCAACCATAATGCTACTCCTTTCCTTGCTGTCAGAGATACAGTAAGAACTCTTATCTCTCTGCCTCTCTCTGAAAATGGTTTTACAGTAAAAAAAGAAAATAGAAAAAATTGTATGCAGGTTTTTTATTTTTTTTCTTTCTTTTTTCAAAAGTTCATGTCCCTCCTGATTTGGAATTTCTGATTTAATATGAAAAGGTTAGTTTAAGTATTGCAACAAGACAACCACTTTTTGATTTCTCCTGCTTTTTTAATTGGTTTTGTGACTTTGTCAAATTTCAAACTATACACAACTTGGTTTGCAAAACCCCAGATGGGGAACTTGTTTTTTTATTTTTATTTTTTGCTCATACAAAAATTTCAACGTTCACAAAATATAATGTTCATAGTTCTTAAATGAATGACATAATACGCAAGTAAGATACATCCACAAGTTTGGCTTTTCTAGTCTCACAAACTTCATACTTATTACAAAACTTTTTTTTTTTTTTTTTGGTATACAAGGAGGGCATATATAAACCCTCGGCTTCAAGTTCCAATGGATTGTTAAAAGATGATTCAGAAACTTTTAAATATTCTTTTGCGGAACACAAATCTTAAAACTTGATGTTGCACTTTCTTGAGATTCTCGAGCATGCGCAACATGGTGTGGTATGATTCATGAATTTTTGTACTCAACAGTTCTTTTTCTCTTCTTTTCTTTCCTCCCCCATGAATTTTCTGGGTCTCTTTTCTTTTCTTTTCTTTTTTGTACATAGAGCATGGCCTGCAACAAATTAGGCCTACCAAGGGCCACAGTCCTAGTACATGAGCTCCTACCTTTTATTCCTTTTTGACCCCACTTTTTTTTTTTTTCTTTGGAGTGAAGTTATTTGGTTTTACAATGAACTAAAAATTGTTGGGAATTTTGTTTGGTTTGATTAAGGTACACGTTCTACCACGAGAGATGCTGGGAAAATCAACTTTCGGGTTGTCCATGTGGTTGATTAAGTGGTTACCCATGCGACTTGTCGATCGGTTCCTCCTCATCGTGTCGTGGCTTATGCTCGGTAACACTGCTCGATTCGGATTAGACCGGCCGCGTTTGGGTCCCCTTGAACTCAAAAACCTGTCCGGAAAGACCCCTGTGCTAGATGTCGGTACCCTTGCCAAGATTAAAGGTGGAGACATTAAGGTACTTCCTCCTTGCCTTTTTATCAAATCAAATCCAACTTTTTTTTATTATGAGCCCAAATCTTTCATTTTTTGAGGGGTCACGAGATCTTTCTTAATTACACCATGCTTTTTCTAAAAACTAATAAGGATACGTTTTTTTTTTTTTTTTTTTCCCCTTTTCTTTTGCTTTTCACTAGTGCAACTTACATTTTCTTCTTTTTTTATATCCAATGAAATGACCCCTTTCTTTTCTAATCAAGATTTTCCATCATTGTGTATTTTCCAATCAAATCTTGTGGACAAAGCACAAGGTTTTAAGAATTTTTTAGATTTTTCCAAAAAATTAAAAACTAAAAACCCGAAAGTTAATCGACAAAAAAAATAAAAATATGTTCATCATTAATCATGTTTGGTGGGGTTAATTATTTTCATTAGATTAGTTGTTTGAAGTTCAAAATTGCTGTAGGTGCGTCGAGGCATAAAGCGGCTAAAACTTCGTACGGTGGAATTCGTAGATGGAAGGACAGAGAATTTTGATGCCATCATATTAGCAACTGGTTACAAAAGCAATGTACCCTATTGGCTTAAGGTATGATACATAACACACCTCCATTCTTTTTTCAAATATTAAATACAAGTTTTTAACTGGTTTAATTAATTTTTGAGTGAAGAAAATATGAAATAAAGACACCTACTCTGTGTGAATTCTTAAATTGATAAGAAGCAAAACAAACTAACATATTTGAAATGGTTGGTGTATTATGTGCAGGAAGAGGTTATGTTCTCTAAGGAAGATGGGTTCCCTAGGAAGCCTTTCCCAAATGGGTGGAAAGGTGAAAATGGGCTCTATGCGGTTGGTTTTACCAAAAAGGGACTACTTGGTGCAGCCATGGATGCCAAGAAAATAGCTGAAGATATTGAACGGTGTTGGGAAGCTGAGGAGGCAAAGCATAGAACTGCTTTTGCTTGTTCACTTTTGCCGCAATCAAATTCATAAAATTGATATTTGGTTTCGGCTAAGTCAGGGACAAGAGAAAAGAGACTTATGGTCATGGAGGAAGAGATTGAAGCGAGTACATGAAATGGAAACAGAGGTTTTTTTATGGTACTATCTATGCTATCATCACAATTCACACATGTGCTCAATGCTAGTACCAAATTGGGGCTCCTCCGATCCATGCATGATGCATGGAGAAGTGGGCAAAAGCGAAAGGAAAATGTGGAAGATTATATCCTATGGTGCCCTTCACCTTAATGTTTAATGGATTAATCATCATACATACGGCTTGGGGTTGAGAAGAAGATATTGAATTGAAGTTGAAGGAAAGAAGGCTTGACTTTCTGCAGAGAGATAAAGAGTGCCAGAGATAGAGAGTGTCTGGTTTGTGATTGAGAAAGCTGTGATTGCGGTTTAACCTATATTTTCTTTTGAAATATAGTATAACATTCTGATGTTTCTTTGGTTGCCTGTTTGGCTCTCTGAATGCTTAAAATTGTTTGGTTCGGGCTTTATCTTTTCTATTCTATGTTTTTTTTTATGAACACTCTTTGGATTTGGAGAAGAAAGCGAAAGTTCAATGAGTAATGAAGGAAAAAACTTTCTTAGCATGGGATGAAGTGCTAGATTATGTACCATTTTCATTACCATTTCCATGCAATTTCGTTTTCGAAATGATTTCATTCCAAGTAGGATTCAGGACCACCCTTGCTTTTCAGCAGAAACTTAAGAATGTGCGTTAGAAAACAGGCAGGACCAAATTAATTGCAGTAGAACTGTTACAATATTTATTACACATTTCCCCTTCTCACCTACTTCATTAAATTAACACAGTTCATAAGAATTCAAGTAACAAGAAGTGACTAGGACAAGCCATATATGTGGCTTGGCTTCAATAGCAACCATCCCCATTAACATTTTACCACTTAGCTCAGTATGCTTCAGCTTTAATTTAGCTCTAAAAAGTGATTTCATGCCTTCCGCTGTGCTTTGTCAGAAAGAAAGCAGTGTACAGAGTCACACAACCCCACCTGTTATGTGCAAATTGAGGAAAATATAAAAGTGATTAAGCTCTAGCTAGTCACGTTGATTTGATTTGAATCTTTGCAATCATAATAAGAAAAAGGGTACTATTTAACCAGAAAAAGAAAAAGGGTAACAGCGTATGGGGTCAACGTCAATCTAGTGTCAAACTGTCAAATCTGGGAGGTTAGAATCGCAATGGATGGTAGATTGTGTTTATTCCTTTACAAGACTGGTTGACAGTGCCCAAATTTATGCTTCTAAAGAAGCTACCATTAATTTTACTTCCCCAACTTCGATTTTACCCCAAATTTAGCCCGACACTGTGTGATTTCAGCATGACACCCTCCTTAGAAAAATGAGTAGTCATATCCTTGTTTCCCTTTTTTATCCTTGAGTAATTACATTGTTATTTATACATAGCGGTACATCACTCACATAATTCATACTAATAGTTGGGTGAAATATAATAATAAAATAAAATTAGAAGTGGTGAAGATAATTATGTAAATTTTGTGAAAAAAAATATATACAGATAATTTTATTTTTATTTTTATTTTTATTTTTATTTTTGCTTTAATCACCTTCTAAGGAGTAAAGACAACTTACAGAGTGTTCAGGGAGTGCCGTCCTCTAATATTCAATTTTTTTACTGCTGAATATTGGTGCTGCCTTGTATCACTAATAGTTTAATTTTTACTCTAATTACTCTTGCCTTTTAAAAATGTGTAAATTTCATTATGAATCAATTTATAAGAGAATTCTATTGCATTCTCTCTCTCTTTTTGTTGAAATTGCATTTTTTTTAATAATGATATTTAAATGAAAATTTTGAGGATTGTCTTTAAATTAAAATTTGACATTATGCATGTAAGAATAAGAATAAAATGGTCTGTTTAATTATGATTTTTTTTTTTTGAAATAGGCTAAATTTGAAGGACAAAATGAATTTGAAGGTGACACATAATTTAAGACCTATTATACAAACTTATATATATATATATATATATATATATATATATATATATATATATAATAGTATCAGATTACATAATGTTTAATTATTAAAAAGGATGTAAAGGCAACCAGGCACTTGTGATTGAACTAAATATTTTGAAATTTTTTCGTATGATTAAAAAAGTGCATTTTATTCTTGAATAAAAAAAATAACATCCAAAAAAAATTACTAGTCAGTTGAGAAAAATTAAGTGCATTTTTATTCTTTATATATTTTTGAAATGTATTCTGTCCTATTAATTTTTTATTTGTTCCCTGACTTTTTTCAGTTACTTGAGCAAGTATTTAATTAATTTCTCAATTAAATTACAACAGTTTAAACTTAAAATGAGTCAAGCATTTTCTTAAAAATTAAAATTGGATAGATAATGAAATCCAAAAAAACTTAAAATATGTAAATTAAGCATTTTATCAACAATTTAATACTATTTGGTTATGATATAGAAATACATGTAATACTTAACTATTCATTAGTTAAGTATTTGTAAATGAAACATTTAAGATAAAATCAAGTACATGCGCAGGAGTATATCAAATAATTCTTAGTTTGTATAGCTCACTTTAACAATGATCCCTTTGTTTTAGCCGTCAAACAATGTAATATCAATAAAAAAAAATTTAAAGGTCAAATGCTTATACAAATAGAAGTAGGATATTCATACTATCACTTTTTTCCATTACCATCCACTATAATTATGTACTTTAGGGAAGTATATGAATATAATATTAAAATTAATTTTTTTCTCTCTTCACGATATTTAAATATTATTCACAATATTATTTTCTTTAAACAATTATAAGAAGTCTAAATAATATAAATATATTTGTAAATATGAAGTACTATTGAAATTGATACACAAAATATTAAATTGTATAAGAGATCCATGTTATGTTATCCAAGATAATAATAAAACAGTTCACCAAAAAAAAAAGATAATAATAAAAAATTATTGAAAGAGGAAAGCCCTAAACAAATTGTTAATTTATATGCATTTTTCTCTTCTTTATTTTTGAAGTGTATTATATAATATTAAATTTATTTTGATTTATTGAATTGAAATTTAATTATGACTACTATATTTGATGAATTCGTCTGATTGAATTGTAATTCATTTTAAATAATTGCTATATCTCATGAATTAGATAATCATGAAATAATTACTATATTTGATGACTTCAATGATTTGAGTTGTTAATTGTTGTAATATAATAGTAATTCGTTTGATTTAAAATATAATAATTATTCAATGGGAATATTAATTTGAATTTGCTTAATTGAATTGGGAGAAATTGTTTTTAATTGATTCATTTTTTTTGGTAAATTAATTGATTCATTTAATTTGTTTGATTAATTGGGTTTTTATCCTACTCAATTATAAACAAATGCAATAAGGATACCCAAAAAAAATGTAATTATTACTATATTAATTGAGCAGTGAAATTAAATTTCCTTTAATTTTATTTTATTTATTTATTTATTTGACTTCTTAATTTCTTTTTTATTAATTTTGTGAATTAAAAAAAACTATAATTAATATTAATTTTTTAATTATTAATAAAAGAAATAATATGAAAGAATTAAGTTGTTATATAAACTTGTTTTTAAGGAAAAAATGATTGAGTTTATCAGGTAACATGAGATTTGCATGCAGGATTTTTTTTTTATAATATTATATTTAGTATTACTCTAGTACTGCTGTAGAAAAAAAAATTATGAGTAATTTGAAATTTCAAACTAAAAAAAATATCAGGAATGCATTTTTTATTTTTTGGGAACCACAAACCTCTTTTTTAACAAATTAAAGATCCTTATGTTTCACCTTGCTCAGAGTTATTTTTTGTTTCTGGTTGTTTGTTTGTTTTTGTTTGGGGCTTCGCCCCTTAATGTTATAAAAAGAAAAAGAAAAAGATCCTTACGTTTTTTTTCGATTTTTTTTTCAAGGTAACAGCCGCTTAAATTATTTAATTAACTAATGACTATTACAGCGCCAAACAGACTTACACATGCTTAATTTTTTGGTTTAGATGTACCAAATAATTTTTTGTTGTGCCATAAAAAATGCTTAATTTTTCAGTAGCACGTTATTGTAGAATCCTGGTGATTTGTTTTTGTAGGTCATTTTTTGAATTAACAACTTCCAAGTCAAATGCTGACTTCTGCAATCAGATTCAGTTTTGCAATCAAAATATCTTCACAAAGTTAAAAAAAAATCCCAAACAATCAGGAATTGGATAAGAAGAAATATCCGATCCATTTTCGTAGAGCTATTTACTCGATCACAGACATTCCTGGAACACCTCTAACAAAGGCACAAAGAGTCAATTTTGAATTTTTCCTATCTTCTTTAAATTTTAGTCAACTACGTTTATTTTAGTGAAAAAAATCCATATATGGGACCTTTAAAAAGAAGAAGAAAAGAGCCAATGTGATCAGAATAAAATGAGTTTAACAGTCGGTTTAATGATTTGTTCATAATAGGAGTAAAGGAAAAAGTACATAAAGTCATTTTAAATTTGAGGTTTTTTTAACTAACATGCACCTTCTAATTTAATTTTGTTCCAATTGGTTTCTAAACTCTAAGAATTGTTATAATAGTTCCATACGATAATTTGGAGTTAACTTACTACCAATGAATAAATCTTAAATGTTTATCCTGTAAAATTCAAATAACTAATTCATATTCTTCATCAAAGAGTTTGAAGAGACGAAGTTAAAGTTGAAAGCGCCTATTTTCAAAAGACAAAGCTTAGGATGATTGTCTATACTTTCTAAGCAAAAATAACTCACTGATCGAGACTCGCATTATAGTTACTTGAAAAGACGAAAATAGAGGTTGAAAGCTCTATGCACAGCAAGGACAAAAGAATAAAATATCTATATTAGTAACCTAATCCTCAAGCTACGAATATGCACTAGGAGTCAATAATAATGGATTAGTAACCTAAACTAGCGAGCAGAATCTTAGTCCCTCGATAAATGGATTAAGGAATGTTTGGTTATAACGGTAAAATTTCAGATGATGTGAGGCAGTGAGGGCTGTCTTATATTTGGGGCCTATTTCGCCTATCCATTGTGGTAGGACTGTTGGTTCTTCAGCCCAATGTTGAATCCCAGTTTAGACCAAACCTTATATGAAAAATTACATAAAGATTACAACCATAAATCTTTTGATTTAATTTCAAGGGTTATCAATTTATCTTTATATATTTAAGGGTTTATTTTTTCTGTAGTAA